CATCGTATTTCTCGCACATTTTTGTTATAAAAGTTTCATTTTAACCAAAAAATCATAAAAATGTTGATTTTTTGATATGATGCGTCAGTAGAGGCAAGCCGCCATACGCAATTTGTTAAAAACACCAATGGRACATGAAAAAATGCAATAATTAAACTATACACATTTCACTTTAGTAAAATGGTTATTATAATTAACAAAAAAAATTAAAAGATATGTTTTATAAATGTGAGAAAAAAATTTGAAAATACCAAAAACAATTGTTTAAGATTGAAATCGAATTTTTCTAGCAAACCTAGCCCTAGGAAAAAAGTAATGCCGGACTTAACATTTTAAGTTGTATTTCTTGTTATAAAAGCTTCATTTTGACTCAATTTCTTGTTTACTACTCCTATCTGAATACCTAAATCCAAAAGAAAATAAAAATTTCAAACTTTTATTTTCGAAATTTTGGACGATTTTTTTTCGGAAACTAACTCTTAGGAAAAAAAGTAAAGATGGATTGAGATTTCTAAAACGATTTTTCATAAAAAGCTCTCCGAAGTTTTTCAGAGGCCAAAAATGCAGATTTTTTGATGCGCAATTTGTTAAAAACACCGATGGCACATGAAAAAATGCTATAATTAAACTTTACACATTTTACTCTGTACTTTTAGAAGTAGTTCAATTTATTCTAGAAATAGTTAATACAATTAACAACAAATTTTTAAAAATACAGGGTGTTCCGTCTAAACTCCACATTAAGAGTATTGGGAGTTCGAAAAATCATATTTATTTGAAAATTGGTACATAGCCATAAACCATTAAGTCCTCTTAAATCAAAATATTTTCAAGATGGCGGCACTTCCGGTTATACCGGAAGTCGGTCCCAATTTTCATATTTTAAATGGGAAGGTATATTTTTTACTGCGTTTTTGGATTAATCGGGTTATTTTAAGAGAGTTTTCATCAGCTTTCCCTATACCCAAATTTAGCCGTTTTTGTAATATTTTGAGTTTTTCAAAAAATTTTGCATCTGCACTTTCCATTTTAAAAATCGGTAACTCTGCCATTTCTTAAACTTTTGAATTCGTTTTTTTTTTGTTTGAAAGAGAAAGCTTAGATTTTTATTCTGGTGTTTTCAAATTCT